GAGAGGTGCAGTACTGTGCCGAGCTGGTGCGGTGAGTGCCCGGGGGGGGCCTGCAAACGCGTGGGTTTTCATCTCCTCCGGGGCGGCGAGCCTGCCAGAGGAAGGCTTGCGAGCGGTTCCCTCCGGAGGGAAAGGCCGCTGAGCTTCCCGCAGGAGGGGGCCGGGGTTTCCCCCGGCTGCCCGGGCCGCCCGCGGCCTCGCCTGGGCAGGCCTGGCCGCGAAGGTAACCCTGCGGCCCCGAAGGGAAGGGCGACGGTGGATGGGGCTGCTCCGGACCTCGGCTTTTCGGGGGGAGCAGCGGCAGCTGGATGCGTATGTAGCTGCATGGATCATTTAACCTGTAAGCGGCAATCTTCCTCTCTTCCTTCTTTGACGGCTGCTTTTCTTCTGAAATGTTGAACGTTTCCATTTCGTTGTCTCGGCTTTTTGGAGAGAAGGATCACCGGAGTGGATGTTTAAAAATAATGGGTATTTTCAGATCTTCTTGGCTACAGGGAAATAGCCAAGCTTCCCAAGTACTCCTTGGAAAATACGCAAAAGCGGAGGAAATCTGACAGCTGGACACACAGCTCAAGTAGCTTCTCTGACCTGACTGCAGGAGGGGGAGGAAGCCTAGTTTTCAAAAGTATCCGGTTTTGGTCCAACCCAAAATGCTCCAAGAGGAGCAGGAGCGCAGCTCAGGCACTTCCAGGCCAGGCAACGTTTTCTGCTTGGTTTCTGGGCCGTAAGCAGCGTGCAAGGCCCCTTAGCTGCTTTCTAGTCCACAAGAGCTCAGAGGTACAAAGTAAAAAATTAAACAAGTTTCTTTGTAGAGACTTAAATAATTTCTCTTTGGATATAGTTGTCCTAGATGGTTGACAAAAACAGGGAGAAGGCTTCCAAGCGTATATAGAAAGAGTGGAACAGGATCATCTTCTCCAAACGGATGCTTGTAAAAGATATAAAGATGTGTGTGGTCAGCAGTAACGTTTGAAGTAGGAAAACTAACGGAAAGAAACGTGATCTTAAATTTTCTGTGCAGCACCGAGCAGCAGACCTTTACAGATGCATCAGAATGCATAGCCAGGTTGCATTTTCCTTGATAAAACTTCAGATTACAGCTTTGTTTTCCTGGTTACTGTACCCAGGATTTGTTTATCAGTTACTCAGAAGATCAGAGACTGCACGTACAGTTAATGTACAGGTAAAGTTAACATACATGGGTAGAATATTTTCAGTAACAACTGTGAACAGAATAGTTAGGTTCCAAGGCACAGAAGCTGAGATGGTTGAATTTAAACTTTTTTGTTGTTGTTGTTATTTTTGTTAAACCATAAAAAGGACTACTTAGAAAAATACACAAGCCTTCAACATAATAAAATGAAAGGTGGTTATGCTTTTGGCATCATTTAATTGAAGCTGCTGTCCACAGTGGCTCATCTATTGTGTGGAAATCAGAAGTTATAAAAAATAAGAGGAAGGAGTTACTATTCAAAGAGAAATAAAACACTTAAGGCTATGCAAGCATCAGCAGGTCCCCAGTCCCGCACATTAGGAAGAACAACTGAGTTATGCTTTAATGTTGTGATTTGTGCAACTTTTTGCAATATGCAAGATGTCCTTTCTCTTTGGTTTTCCTTTTTATGTTAAATGATGCTTTCACAAGTAGCTTTAAGCTATTTGATTAAAAATATGTTTCCCAAGTAGGTATGCTTTCTGTCTCTTGTTGTTTATGTCTGGAAGACAAACTTGTGACTTGATGGTATTATGGAGTTTTGTAATGTGGAAGAAATTATTTTTAAGACACTGATTTTTTTCATACTGAAAGTCCAGTAATGGTCCTCAATACCAGACTTAAGGTCATTCCCTCCTTTCTTTATTCTTTATGCTAATACACAAAGAGACTTGGGGTGGAACATGATCTATAGCAATATCAATTTTACTTTACAGGCTGAGGCTTAATGGATTTGCTTTTCTACCGTCATGTCCAAGGGCACACTGTCAGCCTAAAATTCACGTTGCTCTTCGATTTTTTTTTTTTTTTCCTTAGCTATTTTTTGCTACACTGAATTTTTAAGCTTAGAATAATTGGGAAAAAGAAACAACAACAACATGCCAACACCATTACTAGAGGGAAGACACATTTCTCTATTGTGCTGTCACTTTGTGTAATGTGTTTCTTTGTCTCCTTTCTGGAAGTGGAGGTCGTTCTGTGTTGTGTGAACAACCCAAGCAAACTGCATATCTGGAACTGGGAAAATGTGGCTGCAAACCTGCCTGGGGTGGGCAATACTATGTATTACTTCAATCAGCCTTGAAAGAAATACTAGGGTTTGAGCTGATAATACTTTTCAGAAGGTGTCCTAATTGAGGGAGGTTTGATGCATCTGCTCTTTAATATGAAGGTGACCCTTAAAGCCTGCTAAAATTCAAAAATGTAATTTTTCTGTTGATGTTTCTGGATTTGCATCAAGCTCTAAAGCAAGTTTTACAACTGTTGTGAAAACTAAGCATTTGCTCTTTGTCAGCTGCTGTGTATTGTAGGAGTAAGGACCTCTCTTAAATCTCACTTCCTTTTTGTTTGATGCTAAAAGTAGCAACTCTAATAACCCTTGGTTTTAGGTTGGCCTTGCTATTTTAAGCTCACAGGCAAAAGAAATGTGAGTACATGTAAGAACAGCAGACTTCATGAAAATGAAGTTTTCCTTGACACCTGCTTCTCCACTCTCAAGGTAAAACTTGGAGTTGCCGGTCTTGTTCTAAGAATCAGGTTACAGGCTTATCGGAAAGTACACAAAAATGTTGTTCAAAACAAACAATTTAGCTTTTCAGAGCTGGCCAAGTGTTTTTGTTAGCTGCAGTTATGTTTGATTTTGCAATTTATGATTCTGTGCGCTGTGATTTTTTTTTTTTTAATTTAATGGCACACCCAAGTGGCCAAACAAAGGCATGTCACTCTAGATTGGCAACAAGTTACCTGCAGTGAAACTGCCAAGACCCAGAGTTTTTATGCTTTGAATATAGTTGCCAATAAACAAAAACTTACTGGTTAAGCACTCTTCTGCCAAGCTCCAAAGCACAATATTTAGAGAAATGTGGTTTCATGTTTGGAACAGAAGTCTGGAAGTTGGACAATCTGTATTCTATTTGCAGTTCTGCCATAGTCTTGTTCCATGCCTTTAGCCAAATATCTTGAGATTTGGATTTGAGAGGTTCACTGAGGGTTCAGACAGCGTCCCCTCTCTCTTGGAGTTTGTCTTATTTTAAAATAAGCTTAAAAGCTGCTACTTTTGCGGTCAGAGTTTTGAACTAATTGCTACTATTTTAGGATTTCAGTGCTAAGCCCAATTTACATAGAGCTATAAATAATAAATGTTTTTTTTTCATCCTTTTATAGAAAGCGTGACTATGAAGGGTTTCTGTGTTCTCTGCTGTTGCCTGCGGAATCTCGAACCTCTGCTTTTGCCTTGAGAGCCTTCAATGTGGAACTGGCTCAGGCAGGTATTAAAATATATTTGTGAACTCTGGACATGTAAAATAACAGTTTCAATATTCTAAATTACACTAGTAGGTGGTGTTCTGCTGAGATTAACTTTTTGTACTATAAGGAGCAATGAATAAATAGTGCGATACAAACCCCTAGTTTTGAATGGGCCTTGGAAAGTAGCCAGCCTCCCCAAAATTATTTTGTTTATATATATAGTTTTTCTGACTTTCCGCTTTGCTGTGCATTTTAAAATTAAATTATAACAAACAGGCTGTAGTCCTTGATGCGGTTATGTGATTGCATCTATGTTCTGGCTTCAAATGCGGCGACTGAATCGGTAAAGTGCAGCGAAATCCTATCTGTAGAAGGTCTGTCACAAACTTGGATGATCTAATCAGTTGCAGGTCGTTGTTGGCAGAAGCTAGGTGTTGGAAAGGCTGCCGGGAGGGAAGTTTGTAATTGGAGAGTTGTGGGAGGGGAGTGGCTGCAGTCTCTTCCCTTTGCTAGGTGGCCAGAAACTGCCAGTGCAACCAGGAAAGTTGGTATCACTTGCCAGAAAGGAGCGATCCAGGAAATGTGCTGACCAAGCAAAATCCTGTGCTGACCAAGCAAAATCCTGGATCAGTTTCTGTGGGCAAGCAAAATCCTGGATCAGTTTCTGTGGGCTGTGCTTCTGGCAACCTGTGTCACTGCCCTCCCTTGCTGCTGTTACCACTGCTTCTTTTCCTTCGGGGAAGAAAGCTAAGGTAAAGGTCGCCCAGGACTTAATCTCCATGGGTTTCCAAGTCAGGTTGTGGTGAAGGTTTGTTTTGTTTTTTTTTTTTTTTTTTTTTTTTTTTTTACTGAGTTTGGCTGTGTCCTGTGTCTGTCTTTTCAGTGTAAATAGACCAAGTGCCTTAAAGACACTGTGAATTTCACTCCAGATGTATCCTTTCCAGATTAAAGACTCCATAACTCAGAAGACTACAGGTTTGATGCGAATGCAGTTCTGGAGGGAGGCTGTGGAAGATATATACTGCGATAACCCACCACATCAGCCAGTTGCTACAGAACTGTGGAGGGTAAAATATACCTTTATTGTCCTAAAATTCACTTAAGTAAAATATTACCGTGGGAAATAATGTCATTGTTTTGTGTGTGCTGTGTTGCATAGTTCACAGTATTATTTTATATAAAACAGATTAATGTAAATTGTGTTTGTGTCTGTGTGTGATGTTTTAAGTTCCTTACAACCAAAGAGCAGAGTTGGAGAAGGAGGATGTTTAGGTAGGGCCTACTTGGAGGGCCAGACTTCTGTGAACCATCTGCTTTTTTTCTCTTCTGTTCAGGTGAAGGACAGAGTAAATTGTGGTAAGCCAGCAAGTGAAGTGCATAAGTATACTTCCCTGAGCCAGTGCTAGTCTTGCCTGAAGAGATTAAGCTGTACAAAAAGGCAGGAGACTAAGCACAGAGGTTGAACTAGCAAATAGGGTATGAGGAGAAGCCCAAGACCTTCATACCTAGTTACGGGATAATACAAAGAATCTTAATACAGTCTTCTTGTCACATCAGGAGTTGCTTGATGACTTCTATTTATGTATTATGTTTTGCACAGATCCTTTTGTGTGCATTGAGTAACAGGGAATGTACTTGTGAACTTAACAGTGCGCTGAGAAACAGGGAATGTACTTGTGAATTTAACAGTTTATTTTTACCGAGATGCCTGGGTTCTCCAGGCACTAGAACATCACACATAAAGTACACCTATAGAGATCTGTTCCTCTGCTGGTCATGGCCAAAGAAACAGAGGCTTTCTTGCAGGTTTTTTTTGTTTCTAGTTAGGGCTGTCATTGATATGTTTGATGGATGATTGAAGGTCTGAAGGCGGTGTAAATGGATTTCCCCTTGATGCTGATATAGAAGCACAGAATAATTTAGTTGGTAGGGATCTATGGTTGTCATCTAGTCCAACTTGCCACTCAAAGAAGGTCTAACATCAAAATTAGATAGGTTGTCAGGGTCACACAGAGTTGATTTCTGTATTTCTTTGGGGATGGAGATTCCATACGTTTTTAACTTGTCATCTTAGGGACACGGACCACAGCAAGTCTTAGAACGTTCCAAAAGAGCAGCTACTGTAAGGCCTCTACTCTATAAGATCAGAACTTGCATTTAAATTAAGGATGTCTGAGCTCCTGAACAAGAAAAGCTGCAGTTTGTCTAGATCTCAATAGCTGAATACAGGTAACATAAATCCCATAGGTAGTTAGGTTTATGGACCTGCTGAAAAACAGGTAGTGAAATGTGGAGTCTTCATCCAGGTATTCATCTGCATTGTCCCTGTTAAAGTCCTGGGAAAAGCAGGACACTCACTGTAACGCTGGGTTAGAACAATGCGGTTCCTGTGGGATTAGAGCATTTCACTTGTTGCCGTCTTGGCTTCACATCTGCTCTGCTGCACCTCTGAGACCACAAAAATTAGTTCTTTCCAAATCCTCTTTCAGTGATTTTTGGCAGTGCTGAAACTGTGGCCTCTCCCTGACTCTTCTTCCTTCAAATGTGAAATAAAGCATGAGTGAGCATTTGTTCCTGTCTATCAACACTCATGTTTAGATTAAAATTGGGATTTAAACAAGATACAGTTTATTTAACAAAGAGAAAACATAGGTAAAGCCAAGAAATAAAATAAAAGGAAAACACCTGTTATAGTCACTTTTTGGAGGACCAAAGCTATTCATAGGTGTCTCCAGCTCAGATAAAGTGTGTGCCTTAGCACAAAACAAAGCATTTGTACAGTTAAATGAAGACTGGCAAATGTTGTGAGCCTTTTTATGGGATTATGGGAGTTGAAGATGCACCTAGGGTGATATTTTAATGCAGGCATTAAAATGCAGAATTGGTCATTTTGCATGTCAAATCTGTCTGTGCCTTTGCTTTTTACTCCCTTCTTTCTGTCTCTCTTCCAGCATATGGCAAACTTCCCAGGAACAAGACCATTTTCTCCCAAAATGCTTTTGACTCCTTTCCAGAGAGGAACTTGCTTTAGTGTAGCTTAACTTATTTCTGTTTCTGAAGATATCCTCTTTTATTTAGTTGCCTGATTGAGTGGGTTAGGTACAAGTTAGTTTTGGGTATAATTGTATGTATTTGTTTGACCACTTTTAATTTTAGGCTCCTTTGTGTGTATCAATGTGGGGTGGAAATGTTTATTAGTAGAAGAGTAACTTACAAAAAATGCAGAATATTGTTGTGGTTTAACCCCAGCCGGCAACTGAGCAACTAACCACACAGCCGCTCACTCATTGCGCCCCTGGTGGGATGGGGGAGCGAATCAGAAGGGTAAAAAACTGGTGGGTTGAGATAAAAACAGTTTAATAATTAAAAAGAAATAAACCCAATAATAATAATAAAAATTGTAAGGAAAAGAGGGAAAAAATAACAAAGAGAAGAATAAAACCCAAGAAAGACAAGTGATGCAAATGAAAATAATTGCTCACCAGCAACCGACCAATATGCCCAACCAGTCCCTGAGCAGCGGACCCCCCCCGACAACCTCCCCCCCAGCTTTGTATGCTGAGCATGTTGCCATATGGTAGGGATACCCGTTTGGTCAGTCGGAGTCAGCTGTCCCAGCTGTGTCCCCTCCCAACTTCTTGTGCACCCCCAGCCTACTCGCTGGTGGGGCGGTGTGAGAAGCAGAAAAGGCCTTGACTCTGTGTAAGCACTGCTCAGCAGTAACGAAACCATCCCTGTGTTATCAACACTGTTTCCAGCACAAATACAAAACCTAGGCCCGTACAAGCTTCTGTGAAGAAATTTAACTCTATCCCAACCAAAGCCAGTACAACATTCCTATGTAAATTGTTCAGATATTGAGATACCAATTGCAACCCTTTCCAACAGCTAAGACTGCCAGTCATACTCGTTTCTCACAAAATAGAAAATTGATTTTGAAGTGGAAGAAAGAATTAGCCTGTCTCTGTGGTAAGATTTCACCTTACATATGATTTCTCTAAAGGAAGAACAATATAAGACAATCCAAACAGAACTGGTTGTGAAATAAGATGTTGAAAAATAATTCAGAAGGTATTTCTAGGAGCTCTGATAGCTCTGAATGCTGCAGAGCGCTGGGGTGAGCTAATGATGTAACCTGACCTGGTGACCCTTGCACTCAAGCTGTGATTTTATTTCTGCATTTCAGCAAATATCCCAAGAATGACCTCTTTGAAGAGCACAGCTTCACAAATGTTTAAGAATGTCATTGCAATTCTTAGAAGGCTTTGGAAAGACACCTGAACTCACAAGTATTGCAGAGCTGTTAATGGAATTAGCATGTCTTTCACACAGCGCATTTTATGTATACTCTTCTTGCTGTTGAGTTTGTATGACAACAGTTTTGATTTTCCAGAAGAAATACTAATTTATCATCTTAAACGTGTTCCTGAAGTTTTGTATATCCCAGAGTACTCACATTTGGATTCCAAGAGTTCTATGCGCTAGTAAAGTATATAAATAGCCTTTGATAGTATTTCCAGAATTACTAATAGCTCAACTGTCAGTGACTTTTAATATAAAAGCAACTGTACGATATTTTTTCTTGCTAATCTGTCCATTTTGAACATACAAAAAGTGAGGCCTAATTCTTCATTAATTTCTGTGGAATAAGCCAATTTTCAAAACTTCTGAAAAATGAAGACCCATGTGTTTGAATGAAGGTAGCTCAAAATGGATGTAATGTACAATTTGGGTAATTTAGCAGAACTCAGTTTGGTGCTTTAAGTCTTGACCTGTGACTGTTTCAAGGAGTTCCTTTACAAAATGATACTCAAGACGAACAAGTGGGAAGCAAAACTGACATTTGTAGTTGTAACTTAAAATTTGCTTTTTCACATACCAAGTACTTCCTCAAGCAGATCTTGTTGAATCAACAAGAAGGTCTAGTCTTGTCAAACCTTGAAAAAATATTTACAAATATCATGGATGAAAAGATTTGAAAGTGAGCTATAAAGGCTAAGATTGTGAAAAAAGTGCTCCATAAGTTTTGTTTATAAATATTTATATGTGCGACTGTAGCCTTTTTGACAGCGTGGTCTGCAAAATTCAGTGTATGTCAGAGGATTGAAGGTAAGTTGATAAAATGAAGTGGTATAGGAAAGAAGACAAATACAAGATAAGGGCCAAAAGAAGAATGTGTGAATATGAGATGCTGTGGGATGCTTTTTTAAACAAAACCACAATATAAATTTTATTACTTTGTTAGGATGCTGTCTTTACAGTACCTATTGGTATGTTGTACTGATGTTTTCTTGAAAATTTACAGGGGAAATCTTTTTATTGCTTGACTCTGGAGGAAACTGTTCTCTTCAGAGAGTGAACAGTTATCTGCAAATATTTTGTAGGAATGTATGATTCCATGAAAGAATAAATTAGTTTCAAAAATATTTTTAAAGAAATGCTTTTAGTTAACTGGCTTCATGCCCAACATTTCATTTTTTGTGTGAAACAACTTGTAACAAATGCCAGTTGAAAATTATTATATTTGAAGAAGCCAATCATATGATTCTGTGATTTTCCACTGACATGTCACTTTGATATAACCCAGTGAAGCCAATCCTTGTAAGAAAAGGATTACCTAAAACATATTTTAGCCTTCAGAATGCAGTACTACCATCACTTTGTATACATTAACATGGATATTTTATTTGATGATTTTCAGGCTGTCAAGAGGCATAACTTGACTAAAATGTGGTTCATGAAGATCATTGATGAAAGAGTAAGTATTTACCATTCAAGGTCTGATTCTGTTTTTAGTTGTATGTGTTTTTTTCCCCCCTTAATTTTATGTGTTTGTGTGTAAAACAAAAGCTTTAAGTAATTCATCTTTTCCAGACAGTAGTATTTCTCTTTAAGAATGGTACTGCTATATTGCCTTTTAATTCTCCCTTGGTGCCCTTACTCGTAATTTCTACTCTTGCTGGCCAAAACAGCTGATAGAATTCTTTGTTTAGTTTTGCTTTAAAATAGATGTAGTTTGTGGGTCAGCATCTTTCTTGTTCCCTGCTCTGATAACCAGTCTGTCTGTGCTTGTGTTTTCTGTTGCTGGTCTCTATCCCTGATTTGAAGGGGTTACCCCCAGAGGTAATCCATTGGGAGTTACACTTGCATACCTTTCTGTATGTAAGTGAGAGAAGTTTGATCCTATGGGATTAAGTAGTAAGGTCTCCATATGCAACTGTTAAGAATTCTGGAAAATGACATTTGAATAGAAATGGAAATGAAGGTGTGCAGGAAGGGAAGCCCATACATGGTCTCTTTTTGTGCCATTCCAATCCTGCCGCAAGAGAAAGGACGTCTTGCATATTGCAAAAAGTTGCACAAATCTACATCATTGGCATCATCTTATGCCTCCTCACCTCTTTTCTCACCATGTCAATTTTGCCCCTAAATAGCTTTCTCTTGTGATGAGTCATGGATATAAAATCTCAAAAATTAAATGACCTGTCTGAACCTTTCTGCCACACTTAGCTGCTTCTCCTTATCGTGGCTGCGGAGTTTTTCTAAGCAGTGTTGTAAATTGGAGCATTCAAATCACATGAATTTTAAAATAACCACCCTTTTTCTGGGAAGACCAAGAGGAGGAATTTCACTGGTACAGTGATGCTGCTACCAACTCTGACACAAAGGCAAGAATGAATAACTGAGGGCAGGAATTTCTTAAACTAGCTTTGCTGCTAATAGTGTCTCATGAAGTTATACCTTGAGAAAATTGATGGTTGGTTACTTGCGGTGTGTCATTGCTATGAAAGATTTCGGAGTTTTTTAATCTTAAGACTGGTATGTTTTAACCACAAAAGCCACTGGGGCAGGAAGAATGCTGGAGGGTGTTACATTTTGGGGGGTATTTGCATATGACTTTGAAACTCGTGTGTATTTGATGGATTGATTTTTGTGCATGTTTTAAAAAATACATTCCTATTTATCTAAATTTCCCTGTTCTTCACATGCAAATTAAGTATTAAAATTGGCAATCCCATAGTGTAAGAATACCATATCATGTTTTGTTTTGGCTGTATCCTTTTTTATGAAGAATTCTGATTTCTTACTATTGCAAAAGGTTATATTTGCTCCAGTAACCAGACTCGGCTGCAGTTGCATGTCGTTATTTGGTTATGTTAGACTTGCTACAAGCTTTAATGACTACTTCTATCTGAGTTTATACTCTCTTTCTATCTCTTAATTTTGTCCTTTTTTTTCTAATAGTGGATTAGGCTGTCCTGACTGTAGTAATAAACTTGCACAACTGGCAGTTATATTTACATTTTACTGAAGTTCTGTGTTCATATTACAGGAGAAGAATTTGGATGATAGAGCGTACCGTAACATCCAGGAGCTTGAAACGTATGCTGAGAACACTCAGAGTGCTCTCTTGTACCTCACCTTGGAAATGCTGGGTAGGCGTTTTCCCCTTTTAAGATTTTGTTGATGACTCATTAGCGCAGGTACAATATTTATTGATGTTTCAAAAAGCTCGCTCTTTTTCCACTGGAGTTTAATTTCAGTAGAAGTTGTCATAGGTAACACTTCAGATATCTTTTGAATGCTCAGCCATAAATCTGGAATCTTACTGCACCTGTCCTAGAACTACATTCTTTCCTTAGAAGCTCCTCAGTGGAAAGCTCATTGAAGTGTGGTTCCCTACTGCTCTGTTCTTTGCTGCTTAACACTGTTTTCTCTTTTCTTGCTCCTATTACGGAGTGTGGTAAATTCAGCTCTTCACCGTATTTTTTGATTGTCCCACTTATCAGAACACAAAGTGCTGTAGTTATTCTGCAGCTGTTGTTCTGTATTGCAGCGATGTACACCGGTTATCTTGAAGCAGCTGACTTCCCAGCCTATAAACTTCCCTTCGTAATGTTGTAAATTTGGGTCTGAATCCTCTCCTCTTCCTAAAAGTAGGTTAATACCAATAATTGAATAGCTAGAAAAAACGCAACAAAGATTATATGATCCTTGTGGCTAAGAGCTAGTATCTGTGTCATGTCTAATATAAGAGTTACAGATTGGGAAAGAACTGTTCATTTGCACTGAAGAAAAGGGTGACTTTCTTTTAGGTGTCTGTTGCATTACGGAAGTATTCCTTGTATGAGCTCAGATGTAAAAGAAGGGTGAGAATTATTACTATTTAGTATTGTAGTAGCAATATTTTCGTTTTGCTTATCAGAGTAGTCTGATGGAAGGCCAATGCTGAGGTTAAAAGAGTTTCAAAAGTAAATAAAGAGAGATGGTGAGCACCTTCTCCTTAGGAAGAAATGAGGAACCTATCTCTTAACATCTGATGTTTGCTTCCTCAATAGGAAATCAGTGAAATGTTGCAAGTATCTTTCTGAACTTCTGATTTGAAGAAATGTAAGAGTATGAGAAATATCAGCATCTTCCATTCTGAGAAATGTCTTCGATCCTGAAGAAGTTCAGTCATGCTTGGGTCACTCATGATACAAGTCAGATGATCCTCTTCTTGAAAATCTGTTGTGAGGGTGGTTTTAGGTGCCCTACTGTCATGTTTAACTCCTCTTAAATATACCAGTGTAACAAAATATCTAAGCAAAAGTCTCCTTCACTGCATATTAAACAGTTAACTTCTGTGGGTTTTTTCCCACAAATGGAGAAATTAATTCAACACAGCCCTTTTCTTGGTGTTTCCCATCAGCAGTCTTGTCTAGAGTAGGGGGACCTGATTTCATTATAGGTCATGTTTGCTAAATTTTTTGTGCTTTTTAGCTTCTTTATTCCTGACCTGTCTCCAGGTTGTGTGTATTTCTCCCAGTAGTAGTGCTGCTTTATTCTTACTGATTTTGGGTTACTTTTGTCAACCACATTTTGACTGGTAATCTTGTTGTCCAAAGTCCTGGCACTTCCTCCCAGCTCCTGTCATTTAAAAACATTAATATTGTGCTCTCTGACTCATTCCCTAAGTAGTTAGGAGTCTGGTACTACTCAAGAATTTTGTTAAACCTCTTCAGAACCTCACTTTTGGGATATATTCCCAGGTTGAGCATGAGTCACTGCTACCTCTTACTCTTTGAGCTTTTTTTTTTTTTTTTAAATTCCTAGTTATATGTAAAGCCTGAGCTGCCCAGTCAGTATCAATAAGTTATATCCATTGATTCCTCCAAGCCACACTCTGCTTTCTGCTGCTGTTGCCAAAATGATCAGTCTAAGCCAATCTTGTATGGTCTTGCCATGAAGAGTGACGGTGCTACTCTGCCCCACCTGTCTCCCTCTTCTTTCAGTTCTCACTGTTGTGTGACCACGCAGTAACTAAAGTTAGTTTTCCGTTGTGTCAGTGATCTGATTCAGTTTGCCGTGCTACTGCCTCATTGCCCATGACAGCACAAGGGAGGTGGCAGAAATACGGGTTGCGGGGGGGAGCATAGGACCGTTCTCTCTGGCTTCAGTACGCTGCTGAATCAGCTGCAGCTAGTCATGAAACCATGCTGTAAGCATTAATGCGTGTCAGGAATCTTACACTTGAATGATTTTTCTGGCAGGAAAAACAGTTCTTGGAATACTGTTATCCTCAGGACATGCCAATGAAAATGAGTTTGTGTACTGATGTATTGTATCTGAATAGGTGCCGCTCTGCTAAGTATACCCTTTGCAGAAACTACAACAATCTGAGAAGCATCTTGGTCCTGAATGTGGAAATCAATGAATTTGCCTGCTGCTTTGTGCCTCTGAGATAAGATCTCAAGACAATTTATGAACATAGACAGTTCTATCATGGACCAGCGCACTTAGCTTTCCTTAATTAGGACTGTGATACACATTAGGGAAGACTATACCACTCAAAAGGTCTGACAGTATGTTCTAAACATATTATTTCTGTAATTTTAGGTGTGAGGGACATCCATGCTGACCACGCAGCCAGTCACATTGGGAAAGCGCAAGGCATAGTTACCTGTTTAAGAGCAACTCCCTATCACACTACAAGGCAAAAGGTCTTTCTTCCCATGGACATTTGTATGTTGGTAAGAGAAGCAAGTTGCCTGGAATTGAACAGTATAGTGTTTCTAACTGTGTCTCTCAACACTAGATATGAGGTCATAATTTAGTAGGCCAGAAACTGAACACCTTTTTTCTTTATTTTAACTCTGCTCTAGCCTAGTAATATGCCATTGTTACGGTTTTATATCTTTTGGGAGGTGAGAAGAGTGACCTTCATGAAACTCTAGGGTTTCTCTTTTTATCTTTTTTTTTTTTTTTTTTTTTTTTTAATTAAATGTAGTAGTATTTTAGCTTTCAGGAATTTTTCCATTAATGTGTAGAAATACACATATGGAATGGCACCTGGGTTTTGGGGTTTTTTTTGTTTGGTTGGTTTTTTTCTTTTTTTCTTTTTCTATCCCCATAAAGGAAGCACTGTGAGAAATTTTACTTCTGAACAACCTTCTCGGGTTTCTGTTTACTACCTTTTCATAAATGTGCTGGTGGTTTTGGTTTTTTTGGTTTTTTGGGGTTGTTTTTTTTTTTTGTTACATATTTCATAGTTATAGGCATACATTCCATACATTCCTGTAGGAGATGGTATAGTCCTCCAATTTAAACTGTACACGTAATTCGCATTGGAATTTACCAGATCTTGCAATTTGGGTAAAATGGGATTAAAGCTCAAATTTTTTCATTAATGTTCTCTGACTAATCTATAGGCATCGCAGCTGTTATTCCTTCATCTCCAGTCTTTATTTTTAAATGTTAATGCTGTTCTTTTTATACTTAACCAAAATTTATGTAATTATGGTGATGCTTAAGGCAGTTGTGTTAGTATTTTCTGAATATCATTTCGATACAATTGAAAGATTTGATTTGAAGCTTAGTAATTTAGGTAGTTGCAAAAAATGTAGATACTAATGTAGGTCAGGGTTATAAGACTGCAGAAAGGAGCTGCACCCTGCTTTCAGCCCTTCTGGGACTGTATGGTATAGGAGGCCTTCCAAGTTTTTAGCTTTTCAAACATAGCCTGAAAATTCACAGTCATTCCTTGCCACAGAAGGTGTTTTACAGTGAAACTGTAAAAACAGCTTGCATCCCTTCTGTGCAGACTGAGCATCTTGTAAGCATTTCAGCTGCTGGCAAGTATTGCAGAGTTCTACTGGAGTTTCTATCTCCTGTGAGGCCTACCTGCCTACCTTTATACAGCTTTCACGTGTCTGAGTGTTGTTGAGAAGAACAGGCACCTGGTGCAATTCTGAATATACCATATTATTAATATTATTATTAATATACCATATTATGTCTTACATTGGTCACTGTAGTCAAAGAATAAGTTTGGGGTTGGGTTTTTTAGGGGGTTTGGGGTGGGGTTTTTTTGGTGCTTTTGCTTTTTTGTTTTGGTTTGGGGTTTTTTTGGTTGGTTGGTTTTTTTGCAAGCCTGGTGGTGCACACCAATCCCAAGGCAATGACTTACTTCATAAGCCATCATGGCTTCTGTGTTAGCTGTTACTGCCTTTCTTCTGCTTAATATCGATTCTTGGATTATGGTTTTAAAAATTGGGCATCTAAACTGATCTAAATTCCCAAAACTTTAAAATCTGACTTGGTTATCTGACTGACCACAAAGTCTTTAGGGAACAAATTCATACAGAGAGAGTCTGTAGCAACTGTTCTCTTTATTCTCCTGATTTTTTTTTTCCAAGTGACTGACAAAAAGAAGGGAAATAAAAAAGGAGGGGGCAGTGGTAAAACATTTAGGCTGTTTCAGTCTTGTGTCATTAGTTTGGTTGCTGGGACAAGTTTCTGAGAAGCTAAAATGGAAACTTGGTATTTATTGAGGGTTCTTCTCTTTTTGATTTTCCTTCCTATGTCTAGCATGGAGTTTCACAAGAGGATTTCATAAGAGGCAAGCAAGAGAAAAATGTGAGAGATGTAATCTATGACATTGCCAGCCAGGCCCATGTTCACCTAGAACATGTGAGATTCCTTCCCTTTTATTTATTTAAATAAACATAATTGATGCTAATCTTCACAAAGTATTGTGCATATGTGTTGTTAGAAGACTTGCAGCTGCATACTTAGTTTGAAGTATTTTAGCTTTAATTACTTAGAGAGTTTAAATTAAAAAAAACCAAACCAAACCACCACACAAAACTTTTAAATATTACAACTACTTCTGTATGAATATTATATTTATCTCTATGTACAGGAGGCAGTTTACTCACAGCCAGGTCCAATTGCATATATATATAAATACTGCCTAAAAGCGTTATTACTGGGAGAGAAACTTCAAGCAGACTTCTATAAATGCAACTATATGCCAGCATGGGATCTGCACCATAGAAAGCACTTCTGCATATGGTATTTCACAGTACAGTGGAAAGGGTGCCAGGAAAGCAGAGCATGTTGCCTTTAACTGCTGGTTAGTCTGTGTGGGAGAGGGGATTCATTCCCTAACATGACCAGCCATGCTCAAAGCTATGTTGGGAAAGGTACTTTCTGTTTATTTCTTTTCTCGCTCACAGCCAAGTGAATTAGGAAAGACTTTATTTGCTTGGAACAGTGGATAATGAATCCTGAAGCACTGCATACTCCTACTCTATTTTTCTTTTATGCTCTTATTTTAGCTACACTCTGAATTGCTTGTTGGTACACAATACAAAAGCAAAAGAATGTTTCATCAGCAATGCTGTGTCTGCCTTTATCTGGAAAAGAAAACTTGCAAGAAGCACTGTAAGGAGTTTCTTATGTCTACAAGTACATGTACACATAAATACTTTGAGTATTGCACCCCATACTTCCAATCAAGGTAGTCTGAAAAGATACCACTTCAGAGGAAAGAAATGCCAGATTTATCTCTGCATTTACACCATTGATATAATCCTCAATTACAGCGTTACCTGTGATCACAGTATTTTATGCAGTAGAGATAGGAGAGCTCTTCTTCATTTTTCTGAAGGTAAAATGAGGCATCCCTGGTTTGTTCAGTCAGTGGTTAGTTAGTTGATTAATGTTTTTATTTTTTATTAATAATATGTAGCCTTGGGCTTTATTTTTAATACAGACTACTTATAATTTGCATTTAATGCATTCCTGTTCATGTTGTTTCACCTGATGTCTCAGGTTTTGTTGTCACATGCCCAAGGAAACTGTTTATTCCATTTAGAAGCAGGGAACAGAGGGAAAGAAAATGCAAGGTCAGAACTGTCCACTATCTTTGTTCAAGCTGAAATATTTTGATTTTTCTTTTTTTATTCCCCACCTCTCAACCCATAATGCACAGTGTATAAAGCCCATTGACTTTGGTTGCAACTGTGGCTTACAAAAATGCCAAGTACCTGGCCTGAAATGCCTCGTATCGGGGATGGGAGGCATGGAAAATGAGCAATGTGCATTTATTGTCCAGCTATTTAAAAGTTGGTTGCTGGTATTGCATGGAAACTTTGGGACAGAAGCAGAGAGAGAATTCAGTTCTTCAGAGCCTTTCAGATCATTTGCTAATTCTTAGTGCGTTGGTCCCCTGGCTCCCAACATGCCAACCAGCTGCTGAAGAGAACAGGTAGAGCCTTACCCCCTGCTTTCTTCCCACTCCATTCCTAGAGCCCTGCCCATGTTATGCTCTGGGAGGGTCCTATGGAAAATATCCAATGTGATCATGTAATTGGAGACTATACAGAAAAGTATAAACACAAGGAAAGCAGATTAGGGCAGCATTAGTATTTCATTCAATTGAATGTTGATCTTGGTGCCCCCCCCCCCCCCCCCTCCTTTATGTTGGTGGTTCATGACGTTATTGTCAAACAA